AAGCTTTCAGATTCTGAGGAATATAGGGAAAGCAAATATGTAGTCAGCTTTCTTGTGAAACCTGAGCAGTTTATGAATTACCTATCATGCTGTTGTTTGGAATTGCAAAGCACTGATTTTTGTGATGGGTTTTCTTCTAAGCAAGTAAATTTGTGTTACCGGGAGAAATTGTAGGCCGGTACTGTAATTTGCAAAGACAATCAATTGCCTTCTCCTTCCATCTGCACCTTTGACTTCCTCACCTGGGGGAAAAAAAAAGAACAAAAAATACATTTACATCTTCAATTTTTTAAAAATCTGTTCCTACACTGGGAGAAAAAGAAAATTACATACATCCTTAGATCAGAATAACACTTGCAAACTCAGAGCCTCTACCAGCAGAAATCAATGTACAAAAGTCATGAAGAGAAGTCTTAGGTAAGTAGTGTAATTACATAAATGTTATAAACAAAAATTCTGGGATCTTTGTATGTAATGAACCAAAGTAATAAGAGCCTGGAGAGGAAATCTGCAACATGAAGACTGAGTTTAAATGAGGGAAGATGGATGGGTGTAGGGTGAAGTTATTTGTGTGTTGGGGTTGTGTCTATGCAAGTGGCTCTAAGTGTGCCATTRTTGTTTTCTGGCACTGGCCCATGTTCATCTGGACTAACACAGAATCAGAATGCTTCTTGGCATGAATTTAGCCTCTGCCATCCAAAGCCCTGTCCAGCGCCCTCCTTGGAGATTGCTAGGTTCTGTTGACATTGTTACACATCCTCCTAAATGCATCTAATTATTTGTTTTCATTTTTCCTGAATGGGAACCATAACTTATAAGATTTTTTTATTATTAAATACTAAGTATAAAATTAATTATTAATATTTAAATTATTTTCTAGCTGAGAGTAGATAGGACTTTACATTTCTCTGTGAATTTAATTTTGTTCTCAGTAGGTAATAGTTATTGGGCAAACAATGTCTAGTGAAACTTTCTACATACATATTTGTAGGAACCTGCTTGATTTGGATCCCCAGTGATTAAGAAAACAGTTGTTTTTCCATTAACAACCCAAACTGTATAAATCTATAAATCAGTGATTAATTTTAAAGTTATGACCACGTATAGACAAAGCAATAGTTTAATTAAGACAGGTATGTTACTTAACATAATTTCATACGTAATACAACTGAAACCGATCATCAGTGCTTAAGATAACAAATAGCTGAGTAATTATTTTAAAGAACAGAGACATAATAGTGTTTAACATGGAATGGAAGTAAGGGGGTTAAGGGTGGTGAGGCATTGGARCAAGTTGCTTGGAGAAGCTGTGGATGCCCCACGCTGGAAGTGTTCCAGCAAGGCTGGGTAGGACTTTGAGCATCCTGCTCTAGTGGCTGGGTGACTGAGACTACACAATCTTTAAGGCTCYTTTCAGCCCAAACCATTCCATGATTCTATGATTAAATGCTGGCAGTTTTCATATATTAAAAATCAGAGAAAAAATGATATTCATATTCTGTACAAATTTATTTGAGTATTTAATATATGGTAATATTTATTTATATTTTACTCAACAAAATAATTCAGAAAGTTTAAYGTATATACTTACAAATCTAGCAAGTGAGTTTATGAGGGCATCTATTCATTGTTTAGCTAATATCTGTGTTCATTCCAAGTAAAATCAAAGTTTCTGTGGGCTAGCCATTGCTAGTTAGCTGTTTCCCAAAAATATTAATCCCTTTTTAGTCTTTGTGTTGTCAAAGACAAGAAGTCTTAATTATTTCAGGATTATACAAACAGAAATGAATCTCCAGACAGGAGGTAGAAGATAAAGCTGCAAACTACTTTAAAAGATAGTGAAGAGTGTACTTATTGAATTTGCCAATGCCACTAGCATTGGAGTGGCTACAAACACACTGGAATATGAAGTTAAATTCAAAGTCATTCTAAAACACTAAGCCCTTCCCTCAAGGGTTCAAGAAAGAACTGTAACTATCAGGAAAGACTGAACACCTTGAAGATATTTAGCTTGGAAATAAGTAGAATGGGGAACATGGGCTGACAGTCTTCACATACTGCAAGGGCTCCCACCAAGGAGTAAGGTGTTCTTTTTGATAAGATTGAACAGCAGGAATTAAGACTTCATTAGAAGACTTAACAATGGGAATTTTTCTGTAACAATAAAATATCTGTGAGGATAAATCCATAAGGATCAGATTTGTAGAAAGATGCCACAATGATGAAGTTATGGGATATCCTGTGGTAAGGCAGTCTTATTAGAGTGATTTTGAATGGAGTTCCCTGAATCAAAGGTCATCTACTTATTTTTCCCTGTTCATGATCTGTGGAGAAGCAAAAACTGAGTAGTGAAGTCCTCTCCTACTTATATTCTCCATTCCTCTTTCAGCTTATCTATCAGTTGTATTGCTGGTTCAATTGCAATTTTTATATATTTCAGCAAGAAGCTGCGATGAAATATAAACATTCCTTCTAGGTGATATAAAAAATTATGTGTAGTATATTTGAAAGCATACCCAGACATAAAATGACGAACTAATTTTGGGAATTGTATTGTCCAGGTACTTGRTTTTGGCAGTGTAAGTTCTTCTCTTTCAAAATCTGTGAACTTTCAGAGCCATTAATTCCTGAAGCCATTACACAGATCTTAGTGAGCTTTAGAATTATATTAGAACTTGTTTTTACTAAAGTAGCAGGGAAGGTAATGTGGACTTTCAGATAACTGTGTGATTTGATTGCCTTGAAAACATCTGGTGTTATGCGTCTGTATGTTTAGTTTTCTTGCCGTCCTGTTTTTATTGAAGGCACTTAGGGTGGATTGCTCTAGGGTAAAACACCAGATATGCTGAATTTCTATTACTTTCTTGCAATTTGCCATCATGAAAAGAGATATCCTTTTATTCAGTGCATGAATATTTTCACCTCAACTTGACATGCTGTCTTTTTTACTGCAGTCATTTTGTTACCTGTCGTAAGTGAGGTTTTTGCCATCCTTGGGCTCTACAATATCCATATCTGTATTATAGGGAAGAAGATGGCATTCTCTCTGATATTTATCAAAATACTCATTCTGAACTTCTTAGATTTCTTAGGGACATTCTAACCTCAGGGAATTAAAAGAAAAAAGAAATCCCTCTAAGTTCAGTTAGCCTTTAATAAGTGTCATAAATTGATTTGCAATGCAAAAATTACTGTATCTCATTGAATCCTAGCCATATTAGTGTATACCTCTCATATATTCCTTCTGAAACAGTGAATTTTGGATGTCAGTTTACTTGGAGACAGAGAGATGTAAATAATTTCTTACATGGTGAGATACTTTCTGGCTCTGAAGGTAGTTTGCAAAGCACATAGAAACTGCCAGCTACTGTTAGTAGAGGGAAACTACTCAGCAAGAAACTAAGTCAAAGAATGCTTCTGCTAAGTATGTGAGAAGTATCTTCTCCTAACTCTCAGTACTTCTCCACTCTTCTTGGATTAGTTCCCTCACCCCTTAATATTGTAAACATCTTCTTATTAATACCTTGAATTTCATCCACACTTGTGGATGTCATTTGCTGCACTGAAGAACTGCTGGGTGAATACTGTGTGGTGGTTAGAGTTTCAGGCTCAACATTCTGTATATCTGAACACAAGATCTGTACAGGAAATTTAGAGGAACCAGATGATACCCTACACACTTCATCATCATAATTACAATGACCTGGCTAGTGCAAGACTGTTCTGCTGCACACAGCCTGGCCTTCAGAGGTGTCCATTGCATAATACAAAGGAGGGAAAGATGGAAAGTTCTAATGAAGTATGGCAGGCAGTATTGAAAATRTAGTTTAGATAGTCCCTTAAAAGGAGGTTAATATATCTTAATACTTTGAAAATTTAGTTCTCTAGAGCTTTCTAAATGTCAGACTATAACAGGGTGCTCTGCCTAAGCCCAGTTATAGCAGCTTGAACTTAGTCATATTTACATGCTATCAGTGGTGAACTGAGTAAGGAGAGCCTGCTATTCAGTGATGCATTGAGTAAGTAAAGTCTGGTGGTTGCCAAGCTGCAGAAAGAGCCTGCGAGCCCAGCTACCTTTACCCCAACCCTGTTCCTGGGCCAGGCCACAGCCAACCTGGCCAAAGCCCCAGGCCCACAGCCCCTGGGGCTTGATGCACCTGTGAGCGTGCTGATGCTGGTGAGCAGCAGGGGCAAGGCAGGGACACAGCAGGGCTCTTCCCCGGGCAGCAGCAGGGTGGCCACCTGCCCCTGACCGTTGACCTCTGGTCTCTGCAGCTGAGGCAGCACCCTGCGCCCACAGCTCTGCCTGGCCCTTGATGCAGGGGAGTTAGAAGTTAAGGGATAACTTGTTAGAAACTTGTTGCTAAACAGTATATATTGCTATCTTCTTGCTAGACAGTGTATATTGTTTATTTAACATTCATTGTGTTTGTCAAAGCAGAATGAGCAGTAAAAGGTTATTGACAAAAGCAGAGACTGTGATCCAGCTTGTGTTCATGGACTCCCTACGCTGGCTAAAACCAGAGCTGTTGTTTGGACTTGGGCCAGGGACTCAGAGAGCATGCACAAGACAGAAAGGTGAAAAGTTCAAAACAAGAGGATGCGTATTTTACTTCCTCCCGAGACCCCCGGAGCCCACTACCAAATAACACTGTGCAGGTGTGAGCACATGGAAATGACTTTTGAACTCATTATGATACGAAATGGGGATAGGTCATGCATATGTGTAGGCGAATTTCAAAACTCGTGAATGTGTAACATGTAACCAGATATATACCAAGCAGTACTGTGCTGGGGCGCATATGCCTCTTTGGAGGATAACCTCCCACACGCCCAGTGCTGCAATAAACATACCTAACTTCACAACTTAAAATTATGTAAGTTGCAGAGTTTTGCCTCATTTTCATAGATAATTTTTGGATCATCCTGGACCAGCTGTGGGTGCTGAGCAGCAGGAAGGAGGCAGCGCTGCAGAGAAGACCAGCAGCAGGAAGGCAGCGATGAGGATGCCACCTCCGTCATCCTCATCTGGCCCAGCAGCTCGTGCCTTGCCACATTTGGGTGAGTTGTGGTGCCACTTGTCATGGCACGGCAGAAGAGTTTGCCAGCCACAGGAAGCACAAAGCCTCCAGCAGCCTTGCGATGGCCTCTGCCTTCCATGCAGAACATCAACAGGGAGTAGCCTGCATCCCCTGGTCAGCTTTGGCTTGCTAAAAGGCAAGGGCAAAAGCCTCTGCTCTGGCAATCAACGGGGAGCCGGGCTTTGGGAGCACCTCCCTCCGGTCTTCACCATGGGGCTCGGTCCTGCCCATGTTCCCCTGGGAATGGGGAGGGGCCGCGTGGGCGTGCGGGTGTGTCCGTCAGGGGCCAGGGGGCAGCAGGGCCTGACGGTGGTTCTCCTCTCTTTGTGCAGCTCCCAGGTACTGAAGGAGCAGTGGGTGGGCGCGCTGCAGGGGTAAGCTGCTGCTGCTGCTGCTGCTGCTGCTGCTGAGAGTTGCTCTCGCAGTGGCTGCACAGCTTTTCAGCTGGGAAGAGCTGCCCCTGTGCCTGGGAGCAGCAGTCAGGCACAGCTGCCTGACAAGGCACGACAGGGGCTCACCCAGTTCTCTTTTGCCACTGCACAGGGGCCAGGGAGCCCGAGTGAGCTGCCTGCCCAGCATCAAAGCTCTGGCTGCGGAGGTGAATGGCCGCCGTGCAGTGAGTGTCCCTCTGCTGTGGGCTTGGTGCCCAAGCACTGCTGCGTACGCCCGGCCCCAGAGGAACGGCTGCTCACCTTCTGGCATTGCTTGTCTCTTGCGCAGGTCAGGATATAGAGCGCCAGGAGGCTAGAGCAGCTGGTGGAAGAGCTGCAAAAGGTGAGAAGGGCTGCCTTTTGTGGCCTCTGGCTGTGCTGAGTTGCCGGGGAGGCGTGGCTAGCGCCGTCGCCTTGTGAGCAGGGAAGCAAGGCTCCCCGGTGCTGCTGGGCGAGCAGAAGCGTCAGGCAGCCAGCGGCAGCAGTGGCACATCCTTGCTGCTGGCACCGGCAGCACTGCTGTTGGGCAGGGCAGAGAGACCGGCAGCCCAGAGGCTGCCAGCTGCGTGCCACGCTCAGGCTGCTGGGGGTGGCTGGCAGCTGGCCGGTGGCCCTTTGGACTGCGGCACTGCTCTGCAAGCGCACCTCGGTTCTTGYAGGCTGATCCCAAGCAGAGACCTGCCATGGCCCCATCCAACAAAGGATGCCGCTGCCCTGGTAAGTCTGGGGAGGAAAGGCCAGCTTGTGTGGTAGCCGAGCTGCGCTCACTTGTCCACTGAGTATGGCTGTGCAGGTGTGGCACCCGGAGCGGGGGTGTGCGCCACTGCCCGCACCTTGGAGAAAGGCAGGGCCAGGGCTGGGGCGGCTTGTGCCAGCGGCACACCAGCTGTGGGGAGGATCTGAGATGCAGCCACACTTGGCAGCTGCCTGCTCCCTGCCTAGGGTGCTGCACGACTCTATACAATGCTTTAGGCAGGCTGGGGCGGGGCAGGGCAGGGCAGGCTGCGACAGCATTGGCTAGGCGCTCTCTACTGACAARTTTTCGTTTTCTTTGCAGCAGGAAAGACAAGTGTTAGTGGCGACAGCAACAGGACCAGAGGGAGGTGGCCCAGCCTCGGCTGGGCCCTTTGCTCTGCGGTGGGGCCGAGCCGAGGCTGCCCAGGCACCGTGGCAGGAGGGCTGCGGCTGCAGCAGGACGCTCTTTGGGCAGCCCCTGGCAGCCGTCTGCGTGGAGGATGGCACATTGCCCCAGCCCATCCAGGTTAGGCAGCCTGGAGAGGGACAGCCCATCTCTCTGTTTGGCTGTTGTGCAGCCAGCATCCCCACACATGTCCTCCAGGCACGGGTCACAGGGCTCTTCAGCTGTGGCTCAGCCTCCTGCTCACAGCCCCTTGGCAGCAGAAGGCAGGGAGCCCGAGCTGGGGAAGAGCTCTGGCTCTGGCCACTGCTCTTGGAGCAGCCCAGCTCCTCACACAAGGTCCCTGCCCTTGTGCCTCTCCTGCAGGACCTGCTTGTGGTCCTTCACCATCAAGGGCCCACAACAGAAGGCGTCTTCCACAAAGCGGAGAGCACTGGGGCAGTTCAGAAGCTGCGGCAGGCCCTGGACCATGGCCTGCCTGTCTGTTGACATGGCCAGTCAGCCAGCACTGTTGCTGGCCTTCATCCTCAAGGTGAGCCCTCATGTCCTACAGCTTCAAAGTCTCCTGCCAAGGGCTGCCATGGTCCAAGGCTCACCGGCAGCCCTTGGCATTTCAAGACTTCCTGAGAAGCATTCCCGGCAAGCTCCTCAGCACGGGCTTCTATGAGGAGCTCTTGACAGCCATGCAGATGGACAGCAGGGAGGATAAGATCTCTCAGATCCAAGTGTAAGTGTGGGCAGCAGCTTCCAGGTCTGCAGCAGCCACTGCTACAAGGCTGGCACTCACCTGCAAGGGGATGGTCTCCTTCAAAGGCTGTGCTTTTGGGCAGCTCGCACTTCCAGGTTGGCAGTCCCATTCCGGAGCAATGCACGGGGAGCCTTCCCTTGCATGGCCTTGGGGCAAATCAGCAGCTGGGAAGCAACTCTGCGCTTCCTTCCTACAGGAGTGTGGGAGCTGGCTGAGAACGCCCACAAAGCTACACAACGCAGCTGCTGGCTGCCCCCTGGCTGGGGCCAGCTCCGGGGGCAGCTGTGGTCAATATAGCCCTGCTGATGAACATTCTCTTCCATCCGACGGCTGATACTCCAGTATTCCTGGATGCAGAGGACTCAGATATGCCTTTGGAATCAAATGCCCAGAAGAACAGTAGGAGCAGGAAGGAAGCATGGACTGACAAAGGCAGCCTGAGGCACAGCAGCAGCAACAGAGAGTCCTGCACATGCCTAGCACAGCTCCCCAGTCCATGACCCACTTCTGACCCACAGCAGAGTACATCAGGAGCAGGGTGTGTGTCTCTTCTGTATCTTCTCTTGTTAGGCTGTAATGTATTATGACCTATGCACTTATAGATCTCTCTACATACACCTATATATATGTACCTATATGTATGCATCTGTATTCGTATATACACATGTATGGAAACAAATATATATCTATATATATACACACACATGCATATATCTATATGTACATACATGCATATAGGACTCCTAGGGGTTAGTTACTTACAGAACACAGGTTGTTGAAGGACCTTTTTTGAATATGGGACTCTTATTTCCAGTTTGTGTATGCTGTCAGCAAATCTGTCTRTTGCAAAACCAGTGTTTTTATGTATTTAGTATTTTATGTAGCTAAAACTCACTTCCTCACTGTTGGAGGTTGGGGTTTCTCCTTTTGTTTTGCTTCTCTTAGGGAATTTTCCCCCATTTTGTTGCTAAGGGAGAATAAGGACTAAGTACTTAAGAGAAACAAAAGAAGCTGCCAGACTCACAGGAGGAGGGCACATGGACACACTTCTTTTATCTGAGGGCTTTCTCTGAGAAGAGCAGAGAGCCTTTGATAATTGGGAGGAAAAGTGGGGTGGGGGCAGCTCCTAGTGCTATTGCTCTGTTGGCTTTGCAGGAGGACGGTAGAGCTCCTGCCTTGGAGGGAGAAGTTGTTGCTGCCGTGGAGCCCAGCGTCCTGCTTTTCTCCGTAAATGAGCCTTTGCTCATAAAGTAGCCATTGCATTGGGACATTACTAACACCTGACCTCACCAAAGGAACCTTCACCAATCTGCTCAGGTGCCTCAGGGGAAACCCCAGGATTCCCGAGCCCACTCGCCCTTTAAGGCCCTGTTCTGTAGCTGGGCGGCCACTGCCCAGTTCCCCACTGTTTCGCTGCCACTGTTACGAGGTATTCTTTGCTATACTGTAACTCACAACCCTGCCCTACCTGGAGGTCCCGCGGTTCAGTTACAGCTGCTGAGTTTCCCATATACCTCCTCTAGAACCCTGGGACTTTGCTCATCCCTGCCTGCCCAGCTTGCTACTGTGAGGCTCCTGCTACCAGCTCCTTTTACTATCCAGAGGGGGCACAACAATCGGCTCCCCCCGGGAGTTCTTACAGGAACTTTTCTCCATCCATTTCTGACGCCTGCGTCCACCCACCATTGCCGCATGGGAAAGAGCCGGCCGGGACCTGTGCTACAGCGCCCCCTGCCGGCGCGAGGTATCACAGCARCCGTCCTGCCCKGCCGGGAGCCAACAGCGCCCCTGCAGGCTGTAACCGTAACTGCACCACAGGGGAGGGCCCGTGACGGCCCAGAGAAGGCTGTCACTGGGTTTCTGGTTTTGTTGGTTGTTCCTGCCATTGTTATTTGTTTGACTTGTTATATATATTAGTAAAGAACTGTTTTCCTTTCCCCCTTATCTTTGCCTGAAAGCCCCATGATTTCAAAGTTACAATGATTCAGAGAGATGGGGCGTCAAATTTGCCACTCCAACGAAGGTCCCCACCTTCCTTAGCAGACACCTATCTTTCAAACCAAGGCATTCACCCCCATTCAACTTCAGAAATGCCTCACACAGCAGAAACAGAATTAAAAAAACTAGAGGAGCTTGTTCAATAAATGCATGTTTTCTGAGTGTTATGAAAGTCTGCAGCAACTTTTTTCACCCCAATGTACAAAAATCTGGGTATTTGCTTAGCTGATACAGACAAGAGTGTTGGTACTGTCACGATAAATTTCCTTCATGAGGAAGCCTCGGTACTGTTCCATTCGCTTTTCTGAGCTGAGCCTTCTCAGTGTTCAGTGCTCATCGACCATGGGAGCCACGGTGTTCACTAGCCCCAGCATCTTCTCATATAGACTACCTTTTCAGCACCACGCCTCGCCAACAATAAAACCTTGCTGTTTATGCCTAATTGTCGTGGGTTTAAACCTGATTTTTTTCCCAGTCTGAGTCACGACACCAAAAAATGTCGTGGTTTGAACTGTGCTGAAAGCCAAAAGCACCGTACCCAGGGCGTTCTCTCCCTTCCCCCACCGGAGAGGGCAGAAGGAAAAGCAAAAGCCCAATTAACAYTAAAATTTATGGCTTTCAGATAACGTAATTGAGAGAAAGATATGTACATGCTCCAGAGAATGGTCAGACAGGCTGCATAACTTAAGTTGCAAAATAGATTTATTATTGAAAGCTACTAAGAATACTACCGCACTGGGGAGGGGAACAAAGATAGGGAAAAATTTACAAGGAAAAGAAAAATAAAAATGGACATTTTAAGACACCTGTTATTCTTTCTGGGGACCCGTCTCTTTCTCAGGTTGTCCCTCTCCACCCCTATATCTTCCCGCACACACAGGGGACAGGAATGAAAGTCTAACATAGATCAAATTACTCATTATGGTTGTCGTCCAGCATCATAGGAGAAGAGTTCTTACAGCTCCAAGCTGTGGAATGTCTTTTCCCAAGAAACAGTCAGTGTATAACTGCTGATGGCATGGTAGTCTTTTCTTTACCTCGTAGGAGAAAGGAAAGAATGTTCTTCAAGGCCAAACTGCATTGTTTTGGTGGTGTAAGACCACTATCACAAATCTCCTGGCAGAACACAGCTTCTTCTAAGCATCCACTTACTTCAGACGTGGGGCGGGGGCACCTCTTCCCTCCCCGCAGAATACATTTTCTTCTTAGCATCAACTCACTTCAAAAGTCTTGGGAGGGCCAAGCCTCTTCCTCTTTTTTTGGCTTCTGATCAGTTCAGTCCAGTCCTCAAAGGCCAGGTTTTTTTTCCTCAGAAGGAAAAGGCTCTCCTTTTCTATACAGGTCTCTCATTGAAGAAATAGTCCTTTCGAGAACAACTTATTTTCTCCATGCTCGAGAACCATAGCAACAGCACAGCAACTCATCCCATCTTCTCCTTACTGTGATCTTGGGTCTCCATTGCTCTTCTTACATCTCCTCACCCTCCTGCTCTGTTTTTCCCCTAAAACGAAATACTAACAACCTAAAACTACATGGCAGCCGCCCCATCTTGTTTTGAATTCTTCTTAAGTACAAGACCATATGTCATCACAGAGGTGTAACTAGCCTGTGCAATTGGCCCAGGCCTGATGGGCAGCCTGTCCATCAACCTTGGAGCCATAATGGATTGGCTCTAAAACACAGGAGGTAGGGCTCCTTTTGCTGGACAAGAAGGATAAAGCTYCTAGAACTTTGTCAAAGGAGCCATCTTTGTGATTTCTTGGTCCCATCCCCCCACCACCAAAAATTGGACTGAGCAAAACCATGACACTAATGTAGGGTATAATGTTCTGTTTGTGTATTTGGATAGCTGTAYACATGTAATAAAAACTGGACTTATTAATTTCAGCTTTTAGTAGTGAGTGTAACTAAGGATCTTAGAATTAACATCCTRTCACACCAGAATGAACCTTTGTTTTCTGTTCCACTAGTTCTTATTTGTGCAGTTTGCCAAGTGCAAGCTGTTCTCTTAGAGTGTCCAAGTTTCTCTAGGGTTTTCTTATCTGCTACTTAGAAATTTGCCTTTGAAGAACTGTTTTCCTTTTTCCCACAAGGTAAAGAAAAAGAGTCCCATGCCATCAGCAGTTATACACTGACTGTTTCTTGGGCAAAGAACTTCGACAGCTTGGACTCTTCTCCTATGATGCTGGAGTTTTGATCTATGTTAAACTTTCATCCCTGTCCCTCTTTGCATGCGGGAAAGCATGGGAGGGTGAGAAGAGGGGCAACTTGGAAGACAGCCAGGTTCCCAGAAAGAATAACAGGTGTCTTAAAATGTCCATTTTTATTTTCTTCTCCTATGGCAAACTATCTTTGTCCCCCTCCCCAGTGCGGTAGTATTCTTAGTAGTTTTTAGTAATAAATCTATTTTGCAACTTAATTATTCAGCCTGCCTGACCATTTTCTGGAGCATATATGTATCTTTCTCTCAATTATGTTATGTTATCTAAACCCATAAATTTTTCTGCTGAGGGAACCTTCACTCACATTTACAGGAAAATTTCTGTTTACATGGCTTTGCATCACAGAGCTTTGCTTTTRAAAAAGTTTTTGCTTTTATGCTTTTCTTTTTAAATAATTTTAAAATAAGGCAGCAGTAGCCCTAACTAAGGGACATTTTAAGTGTATTGTATTTAGGATTTCTGAGGGTCTTGTTTCTTATTTCATGGATTTTGAATGGCTCTCAACATCCAATGGCATTACCGGTGGATTTGTCCAAAGACATTTAGAAGATTTGCGATATGGTTTATTGTAAAGTTGTAGCTGTTTCTTTATTAATAGGAGGTTAACAAAAACTTGACTTGCCCTTAACTATAAATCTGTGATTTGTGTCTGCTTAATTCCACTTATGTTGTCAAAGGGGAAGTCCTCACAGATTTGCGTTTTCACTGATTTTGCTGGCAAGGAAATTGTGTTGCATAGCTGTTGCCTAGTGTTGTGTAGCTGTTGATTCATGGACTGAGGTAACACTAGGCTAATGTGGCACTGACATGAAAAAGAACTACCAGTCTTTGTACCAGTGAAGTTAAATTAAAATAAAAGAGACTGAAGCGAATTTCATTGCTAGTGGCGTTAACAATGCAGATCATGACTGAAGATACTTCTTCCTGAGAATGATGACTTTCACTCTRTCCAACAAAGACCAATAGTGACTAACCTGAAATTGTGTGTGCATATGTGGTATTGCACTTGTGGTTTCTGTGTTAAATGCATTTGAAGTAGAATAAACGTTCAAGAATGATTCATTATTCTATGTTCATACATTTTTGCTTTCTCAGAGAGTTCTGTTGTGTAAAAACTGRCACACCTTACTTCACATCTGACAGCACCTTACTGGAATAAAACCACAGTTTTTGCTTCTGGAGTGTATATTTTAAATGCCAGCTCTCTAATTTATCTGTTCACTCCATCCACCAGTTTTAAAATAATCTTCAGTGACTTCTGTTTTCAAAGGTAGAAGTAGTGATGGAGAGTCAATTCTTGATGTGACATTCTTGTCCTTCAAAATTGTCAGTCTCAACCAAAAAAAGCTTTCCCTGATAATACTTTCAAACATGTAGACTGGCAAACTTTGAAAAAGAGACCTCATAGAGCTTATTTCATCCTTAGGCTTTCAGTATTCCGCTAAAAATATTTTTT